TGACAGCCGAACTCCCAATCAGAAGACATACCTCCATGGATTTACAACCACACTAGAGACATAACTTTGGGGAGCAGCCATTTTACCAGAACCCAATTAGCAGCCTAACCTCGGTAACCGTTAAGATCTGCTAATAAACGTAGGCAAAGATAGACAACCTGGTTCTTTAAAGCCGGTAAGTTTATGTGTAAAAATGATTCACTTACAGTACACGGACTAATGGTATAGCGAAACTCCCAAAGGCTGGTTTTACATTAGGCCAACTAAAACGGCCAAGCCAATTTAAATTTACCTCGCATTGCAACTGAAATTACAACATAATTTGCATTGAAAAATACCACGAGGCTAATAAGGCGCAACTCCCTCGCATCCTAATGTACTCCAGGCGTAAATCACCTCTGTTCTCCCTTGATAGCTGTGGTCATCATGGTTCTGGACGACATTTACGACCATTGAGGGTGTCCCAACCCTTGTTGCTTTGCAAGTGGGGTTGAAAGACATGACCCGGATGCCCATTAGACCCAATTGCATTTAGATCTCTAAAACATTCTAAAACATGGCAAGTTCAATTGCGTTTAACGAGGACCGATTCTTCAACCATCCTGCTGTGGAGCATATGGTGGGTATCGTCGAAATCGAGTCGAACTGGAAGGGTACATGGGTTTTCATGACCCTACGACCGAACACGCACAGTTTAGATTCAACTAGTAGCACTGCAACAGCGAGAGAATAGCAATAGGGATTAGTGCGCATAATCAAACGAAAGACCTTGCGGCTTTTCAATTTCCTTAGAAATAAATCGCTAACTTGGAATAAATCAATGTTACTTAAGGTTTTAGGCTCAGAAAAAACGTGGACCGAATTCCATCAGCCACAGTGAGATATCAAAACTAACAGCGCATGTACTGGCTAAAAGTCCAGACACGTATTTCAGCGATATTATAATCCACTAAAAACTGATCGAATGCTACTTGATTGCTATATTTTCGAAAAATGATGTAGAAGACCAAACAAAATTTTGAGTCGCTACTGAACCTCAAAATCAGTCTACGGCTTCGTACTTTGTTGCCTGCTGCAATACTACCGCAACGTAACAAAGTGCGGCACGGCAGCAGGCTCCAAAACATCTAATGGAAAAAGCACTGGCATATAGAACAGCAAAGTATGAAACAAGGTGACATAGTACGGCAGATTTGCTGACGAAATATTGACCGAAATTCTAAAATGCGCTTTCGATTTTAGATTAATCAAGTAGGTTTGTAATATAAATTACTGAGCACATGAAAAAGTGCAATGCTTATAAGAAAATTGGACTAGGTGGGAACGCGTCTGCAGGGCGGCGCGTGTTACGAAGGCTGCCGGTCAAGAAATTAGCGGCGACAAAAAGAAACGCCTGTTTATTTATGGCGCGGAGGGAATTAACAACAGCAGTCCGAGGAAGAACTGAGGGCTAACCTGGGAATAACGCAGATTCGTGCCAGTGTATGCGTTGTATATGCCTCGGGAAAGGGCTTCTCCGTCATCACAGTCTGTCCACACATACTGGCCCTTCTTGCCCATAACAATTGCAGTGCCAGTAT